GCCGTCGGGGCCGGTTGCTTTCGCAGTATTAACACTCATTAAGATATCATATACTTCACTGTTAATAAGATTAATTTCTTATAGACTATTGATTGTCTTTATATTGATATTGGGGGGTGTTGAATCCGGATTTTCTACTCGCGATTGCCGAGGGAAATAATCATTTAGAGAATCAGTTATACCTTGTAAATCATCGCTTACGACATCATTCAAAATCAAGGGGGGAAAATTAGAGTTGTTTTTATTTCTCTTCACGTAATTATTGACTAATTTCCAACAACATTTGTCCATAGTGGATCGATTTATCGTTTCATCTAGTTTATTTGCATACGCTCTTTTCACTTTTCGGATAGCCGAGATTACTCTATTTCTACTTTGTCTGAATCGAGCCCAGCGGGTAACAGAATTTTTCCTCTTAGCGAGCTGATGATGTCTATTGCGCCTACGTATTAGCGATCTAATTTCGTTATTCATCCAAAGTGGATCCGATGGTTGAATAGTAACAATTTTATTTGGGATCTTCTTGTCACAAGTATTCCTTATTATAGTCGTTAATTTATTTGGTATGTCATCCACATGGTTGTTTAAGAATAAGTCATTAATGTCAAGATTATTGATGTCAGAAATCATACCATTAACGTCCATATGTTGATAATCATATATTTTACGTTTAAATGTATCACACCTGGGTCTAACAGATTTGATATCAACATATATCGGACAATGGTCACTGCAAATAGGGTCTAACACCCCTCGATCCTGCACAATTTGCATAGAGGATATAAATATGAGATCAATTAAAGTACTGGATTGCGGGGTGATTCGAGTTGGTTTGTCAATAATTTGGGTTAGTCCGTGTAAGGATTCCAATGATTGAAATTAACGATTGCTTTCATTTAAAATATCTTCATTAAAGTATCCAGTAATAACGGTAAATAAGTTAACATCGACAGCGTTTCCAATTGACTGATCAATTAGTTTCCGGTACGCAATGCTCCGGTCAGCTCTGTAGGAGGTAATAATGAGGTAGGTACGATGTTTACATTTAACACGAACCCATACAGCTTCAAGTCCAGCAATGTCTAGCTGGTGCATATGCTACGCATACAAATTGTCTTTAACATATATAGCCACACCGCCCCCGCGACTCCCTCGATCTTGCGGAATGGAGGTTGAAATCCCGGTATAAGAATATCATCGTTCGGAATGTCTTTATGCAACCACGTTTCAGTTATGCAAATGATATCAAAAGAATTATATTCAACTTCTATAACATCCAAGATGTCTTTGAGACTGCAAACATTTAGGTGGACTATCTTTAAAGTATTTAGTACTGGGCCAGGGTTAGGATGTACGTCTCCATAACAGAGTTTTAGAAGAGATGCGATAATACTAACAGATTTGCTGAAAACGCAAAGATGTCGTGATAGAAAAGTGAAAATATTTAGTTTACAAGCTGCATATGAGTGTAGCCCGACTGCAGATGTCCCCACTGCCTGTCTGTACTGACTGATGTCAACCGACATCTATACATTCAAACATTCTATTGTAGGCAGCGGGTAGATGCACATCAAAACCACATGTACTTGTTTTAAATACACACAAAATGTCATTTCTTTCAACATATCGGTTTGCAAATAGATATCAGAGTCAACTGAGAAAGAGTAAAAGCATCCAGTAAAGTAATATGCATTATGTCGGAATGTGCACGTCAAGTCTCTAAATCAACATCATAATGTTACATTACTGCTTGACAACGGTACAAGGATACGTAGTACTCAGGAAATATAAGACGTTGCTATCAATCCATCTTTTCTATATAATCATAATATAGAACAAACTTTACGGATAACAACTTATTTTATTCGTGAGTGCGACGTTTCGATACAGATTCTTGTACCCTTTTCAAGCAGGAATGGAACATGAAGAAGGTGTGTGTGTGTGTGTGTGTGTGTGTGTGTGTGTGTGTGTGTGTGTACACTGAATGTATCATTGCTGCTGGTTGTTAACGGAAACAGTTTTTTCAGAAGTGTAGTTATTTTTTAAAACAGACTGATAACATATTTGCATTCATCTCCCGTACAAGGTCTAAAATTCATTTGACTGCACAATGTTCCAATATGTATTCGCGTTGGAACCGTCGTTATCATTATACGAAAATATGTATCTTGTTAAATTAAGGCCAATATTTCATAAACTGACAGAGGTTAGAGACCGCCAAATAGACCGGAGAATATATTAGGCATTATGTTTATGTATGTTATGTAAGAGAGCAAATGTGGTAGACGAGTGCTATTTCTTTTAAATGTGAACTTAATTCATACAAATGTTGTATATTCCAGCTCAACTGAAAGTGAGCCGTAACTCTGTAATTATCATAATTACCAAGAAATGTCATTAAAGCAATATCAATAACGATACTATATTTCCCACTCAAGATGTGAATTTTTTAGCTGGAGAAGTAGCCTATATTACGTGATGGAGAAACATTTATTAATTAAAATAATGAATGCATTGCTGAGCTTTGGGCATTGATTAAATTACAATGGATATTGTCAACGTAGCAGCAATATGAGATCATAGCAGCATAATGAAGAATTATTGTGGATGTTTTACATCTAAATCGAGAATATTGCCCTCCACTTCAATTAACGTATCGCCACCTGTCAATCAAACAAATGACATGACCAATGAGAAACGTCAAATTATTCAATCCGCATCGCGTTGCCGTCAGCTGACAGCTGACCACCATTTTGTCCGACATCAGCGGTCTGGCGGACTATTCAAAAATAAATCGACGTTTACAGTCAACTTTTTGATCATGGTGAAAAGGTGTAGCTGGGGTACCTGCAACTCGGACACGCGGTACCCGGAACGACTTGCTGGTGGTATCACCTTTATTCCATTTCCCAAGCCTGCCAGAAATTTTGACAAATGTCAACGATGGATACGTTTGTGTGGTCGCCCCAAGTATCAACTGAACATGGACATACTTCGTGACCACAGCCGAGGAAAACATTTCTTCGTATGTACAAAGGTATGGAAACTAAAATTGAATAACACCTTAACCAATGTTGAAGTTAATGTAAATTTAGAAATCTTTCACTTGGTAGACTTTCAGTGCTTTTTAGTTGTTATATAACCAGTTTACACCGATTTTCATTGATTTAGTTACTAATGTTTCACCGCGTGGTATGTCAAGGACAGACGATGTCTGTGTTTGAGCATACGATTTCAGATACATCCATGTTGTTTTTCGTCGTTTCTATCGACTAATAAATGCGAGCTTATTTACAGCACTTTGTTGATGGAAAACCCTCCAAGACATTTCCGGACCCTGCGTCTGCACTACCTCATGAACAAAATGAAAATCCAAAGACAGTAAGACCACGACCCAAACCACGCTTGCCATTTATGGGGGACGTAAAAAGGAAAGTTCTTCTTGAAACACACAGGTAAAACATTGTTGCCTTTATACTTACTGCTCACAAAACACGACAAACCATTGAAATATAAAAATCAAACAAATCCTTGTTTATTCTGAGAGTATCACTGAAAGTTAGTAAAGGTAATGTCACACATTTAGATCCTTTGTAGTTACGAAAAGACAGAAGTATCACATGCATCACAAGATCACAATCATACTCAAGTTCTATTCATATAAGCATGATGAAGGGACTGATATCACCTGCAGCAGGTGCATATTGACATAAAATCTAATTGCTCCAGACAAAACTGTGTTTCACCCAGGGCCCATAATTAATATTGAGTGATAATACACAATAACTCTGAAGGATTCAAAGTATTCATTACAATCCATCATGAATATTAATACATCAACATGGACATTTGCTGTAACCACTGAGATCAGCCACGACAGTGGTTCTTTTAAATATGTTTAAATACAACATTAATTTACATGTACATTTGCTGTAACCACTGAGATCAGCAATGACAGTGGTTTTTTAAAATATGTTTAAATACAACATTAATTTACATATTTATAGATGTTTTTTTACATGGCATGGCCAGACACAGCCATTAGTCCCCTATCCAGAGATTGCTAATATTTCATACAGAAAAGATGACTTCTCAAATAAACAGATAATGTATGAATCAGATGGTCCAATATCCACATACAACTAGTCCATTCATACTTGTCATTTCTCTGACGGGCACAGTGTTTCAGAATATATTCTTACTCCTTCATCCGCTGGGAGACGAATAAAACTAGGAAGCAGATGGCAATATTACTTGTGAAACAACAACAGTGATATGATGTCAACTGTGGGCACTTAACAAGTGAAGACAAAAGTTATTTATCGCTGAATTGTAATAGCAATAAACACATATATTGGAAAAGTTAATCCAGGCATAAGTAGTCCTGATAGGTAATCAAGAAGTTATAGGAAATCGACAAAGATGGTAACCATTTAAAGGCTGTAACACATTTGAGGTTCAGGTATAAGATAATTTGGTCTTCATCTTCTTTTTCAGATGTAATCATGATACAGATATTTCTGATTCACCAAATCAGATGGATATGGAACATCCAGAGCCTAAAACCATGCAGCAGGAATCTGATATTCTTGTCCAACAAAGTGACACCATGGGTAATATTTTATGAAGTTTGTTTCCCTGCAAAGTATGGTTTGATGTGATTGACATATGTTTGTGACAGAGTTTCAAGCAGAGTATTGAAGGTATTCCTATCTGGATATATCCGTTCAATGTTAAAGTCTTGCCTGGTGTAGGCTACAAAGTCACAAAATGGTGCCCCAGTTACAAGTAGTTGGCCATGTACCTGGTACCAATGCTTATCACCTCTCTTCAAGTTGTAATATTTTCCTTCTTTTTCAAAAAGAAACCAGTCATACAGGAGGCTTCATTAATGGTCAAGTCCCTTACAGCATAAGGACACTTAATTTCCACAATACCAGAAACAGAAGTGTCACACACTATAGCATCAGGGGTGGCTCCTATAAATGGAATAGATGGGTTTACAACAAAGCCAATGTCATGAAGATGATTTTGAGGTTTTTCATGTACATTTGTTTAGCTATTTTCTCATTAGAATTCCCATAAGTTGTTGGATTGGAGGAAAATTTCTTTTTGTCAAAGGTATTTCTGACAAATGTGTCATTGATTTGTTTTTTGCGAGTCATAAGCAGACCAAAGTTTGAAGCAGTAATTCGCCCTTTCCTCGTTTTGTACCACAAATCAGACTTGCTTTGAGATCTTGTATTTTTTTCTAAATTATGAAACTCGTCAACTGAAAGTTCTAAATCTTTCCACTGATGTTTTAAAGTTGCAATTGAATCCAGTTCGGGTAAGTTGTCATCTTTTGGAAATGTGACATCTCCGCACCTGTCCTCCATCTTTGGAACCACTATTGGTCTAATTAAGGGTGCCTGTAAAGAGACGAAGCCAGTTTATTCACACTTAGTTTCATACAAGGGAGGTAATAAGGCTGTTTTACTTCTTAAATCTCAAATTTAAACAAGTATGTTGTGGGTGCTATGTGTTCATTCTTAACTTATTCTTTTGTGTGCAAAGCATTTTTTAAACATTACAACAAGTCAGATTGATAATAAGTAAGTCTGTTTCAGGCCTAATAATGAGTTTGGTGCCCTAAACTAGCCAGATCATTTCTTCTCTGTAGAATGTATTATTGCTTGAAACAGCTGTAATTGCTTTTACAGGTCCTCTGCCACTGGATATGCTGGCTCTAGCTGCAGAGAACAAGCAACTCAAAGAAGATATGGCCAAACTGATCCTAGAAAAGGAGGAGCTCATGCGTGCCCAGCAGATCAATACCAAAATTAGTGCTAAAAATGTTAAGCATGATGTGTATTCTTTTTGTAAAAATATAGAGAAAAAAGATATTACACAGGATTTCCCTACGAACAGTTTCAGAAAATATTTAAATTTGTTGTCCCTGGCAATGCTGATGATGAACCTTTTCAATTTACCAGAACAGTTAGCAGTTTGAAGTGTATGGGTCTTGAAGACCAGCTTTTGCTTGTTCTGATTAAACTTAGACAGAATTTTGATTTTAAACATCTCTCAAAGTTGTTTCTGATATCACCCCAAGATTGCAGTTCTGCGTTTTCAAATTGGATAAATTACTTATATTACAGGTTTGGCTCTGTGTCAATTTGGCCTCACCGTGATGTTTTGCAGCAACATATGCCTTCAAAATTTCGCCAGGACTTTCCAAACACTTTCGGTATCATTGATGGAACAGAAATAAAAATTCAGAGACCCTCTTCACTGACAAGGCAAAGTCAAGCATATTCAGATTACAAATCAAGTACTACCCTGAAAGGTCTCATTGGTGTGGACCCAAGAGGTTTAATTACATTCATATCAATGCTGTTTTCTGGGGCGATATCAGACAAAGAATTAACTGAAAAAAGTGGTTATCTGTCCCTCAGAGAAATGGTTAAGTGTGGGAAACTTAAAGTGGGAGATGGTCTGATGGCAGACAAGGGCTTTAATATTGAAAAGGAAATAAGGGCCACTGGATTACGCCTCAACATTCCCCCTTTGGCACCAGGTATAGGTCAGATGTGTGTGTCTGATGTGGCAGAAACAGTGAAAATTGCAACACACAGAGTGGTGGTAGAAAATGCCATTGGAAGGGTAAAAAAAATCAAAATTGTTGGTAAAAAATTGCATTTAAGTTTGTTTTCCTCAGTAAATCAAATTTGGTTTGTGTGCTGTTTCTTGACCAATTTTAAGCCATATATAATTCAAGATAAAGATTAATTACTCGATGTCCAAGAGTTGATCCAACAACCTGAGGACCTATTGGTGTGTCAACTGTCTGACTGGTGCTGGTACATGTATCTGTCAGGTATGAAATAGGGAATCTCTTCATACTGTGCACCAGAGACATGTCCGACTCCTGTATTTGAACTTTCCTGCAAGTACAAAAAGTATTAGTCACAAATATTGTATTTGTGTATGTTAAAAACTTGCAATGTCAATGAATATTTTGTACGTGCTCTTGTTCCTTGTTTATTTAACTGAACTGTAATATTTATGCAAACAACTGCTCAATAGTCATCTGATATTGCTTTCTAAACTGTGATGAGTATTTTCTACCTTGGAAATATCTGATGATCATGGAGTAAAAATGTCATATAGGTATTGTTTGCATTATGATACATCATTTTCATAAAACAAGTTCAGAATCTGAAATAAAACTTTAAGTATATAATAACATCACCTGTTGTCATTGAATGTGGCCATCACAGGTCTCCTTTTCCTATTAAGATTTCCAGGCCTGGCAATAATTATCTGTGACACTGCTTCGGATTCAATCTTTGGTCCCCTTGGTTTATCCCACTGCTGAGGCAGGCTAGTGGAAGAGGGCTGTGAAGGAATGGCTTGATAGCCTGATATCTTCCAGCCTTCCAGTATCAGGACAAGTGCCAAAACATGGGAACACTTTCCACTTGCACTGAAGAGAATAGGGTGAATAAATTTGTTACAGAACTGTGATTGACAGCAGGAATATATAATATATAATATAATTGAGAAGAAAATACATTTACATGGTTTTATTCCAGCAATGCCTAATAACAGATATTACATTTACCTCTTACATTTATTACAGAATCTGTTTCTTTCACGATGATAGAAATTTAACGTAATTATATGGGATAACATGGGTTTCATTGTCAACAACTGAAACGACCAGCACACAGACGTGTAATTGATTGGATATCTATACATGCCGCTTATAAAACCCCAACAGATTTATGCCATAAATTGGAAAGGCACCCGAAGTTATTTCGTGTACTACTCACCCACATTTGCAGCTACAATAGGCGTCAGTGAACGATTTGTGAATTCTGTCAAGGGACAAGTTGATTACATGAGGAGCTTCGGTTTTCCGTTGACTTCTATAAATCCTCCCGCAAATCGACACGATATTATCACAACATGAATGGAAAGTAACGGAATGAAGGTATGAGGCCGAACTAAAAGCCACTCCACGCTGTTTTTGCCGCAAAGTAGGTTCATAAGGCAAATATTTCGGGCCAATATCATCGGGAATGTCTCTAAACGATATCACGACTGCCATTTTGACAGTTGGTTTTGACAGCTATGTTGTCGGACCTTTTGAGAGTTATCTCCCTTTCTTTTGGGGGCGTGGTTAACTCTCCACTGGCGATCCGTTAATTAGGGCAAGAATGGTGATGTCAAATTCCATCCTTTACCAAGTCATGCCTTTTAGTGCAACTCTCTTCAGAGAGACGTTATGGTATCTGCAAGGTTCACCATGTGACCTACGAAACCGACATCTGTAGTGAAAGAACCTAGTTTTGTTCAAAGACGTCAGCAAATATCTCTGGTGTACGTGACATTTGTCTCATCCTTTCAAAGATCAGCGACCTTAATCCCTGACATGACATAGTATTTATCTTAGCAATTCATCGACCAAGGATGCTCATACTCAGACAAAGAAAGAACCTTCAATTATCACCAAGTGACGTGAGACAAGAGGTGAACCTTAAAATACTGTCGATCATAGTTAATGCCTCGATACTGTAACCATATCTCCCCCAAAATGATAGAATTATAAAATACCTATGCGCTACCTATACCTCGATACTCTCCCATATAGGATAACATTATACAATACCTAATGTACGCTATACAATGGCACTAACCAAGATGACCGATAACCTTACAAACACACCCTACTTATAAACCATGAGCCATGATATAGTAACTGAACTTTCACGTTCAATCAACCAAGGATGATTACATTTTGATCTGTTAGGCCCTTCAAATATCAGTTCGATGTTCAACGCAGTTATCCAAACAAAAATTGAACGCTAGAGTTTGTCCTGATCACTGCTACCGGACAAACTTGCCCTTTTCAGTGAAGGCATTGTGTCGTCCCTCGGGTAGCCAACGACATTAACAATCTACTGACGTGTCAATAGGTTTAACTCTTAATTTAAAGAGACACGTTGGAATCTAATAAATGTGCTATTGTGTCTGGGTGACAAGTGTCGTCCATGTATGTAACACAAACGCCATCAACGTGTGAAATGGGGTGACAAGAGAAGGCGTTTATTACAAATGTCTGACAATCAGTTGTCCGACATTACAACAACTCCTTTCAATTAGGCTTGTAGCTGATATACATGACCTAGAAGACGTAGGATTGTAAGACCCAAAACAAAACTCATACTAAAGAATCTAGGATACAGTCAATGAATATTCTAACAACGTAGTATTGCCTTAGTTTCGCATTAAGCATTAATTACATTAGCATTAGCACTAATGTCCGGACCTACAGTGAAACAGACTATGGACCATCCCTCAGTAATCCCAGATGACCCTAATGATTGTTTGCAAGCTACATTCAGCGTGAAAGTATGTTATCCACACGGAAGGATCGAGGTGGTCATAAACTGGCCATGATCGAAGAAAGATGTAGTATCATCGCTGTGTTTCAATTGGTATCAGTACATCATTTGGCATGAAAATTGGTTTAAAACCATCTCAGTAAACCTTTGTTACAAAACGCAAGACTTTCATTGGTCACTTACAATTTAGTCCTGGTTTTGACAGTAAGTGTCAGTCTTCAGGGACAACGAGAACTTCCGCCTACGAGTAAGTGCATGGTAATTTAAAATAATCATCACCATTAACACGGGAGATCATGGAAACGATAAGACGAAATTACAGTTGTTTTCGGTTAGCTTCTATTTCGTACAGATCAATACAGGGAATCGATCATATCTGCTCATTAATTGAAGTTTTGATACACTGCAAATTTTAAAACATTAAAAAAAAGCATTCTTGAATGGTTTTGGATCTGTTTCTTTTCTTGGTTCTTTCTTTGCCTTCCCTACTTAGTAATTCCTCGGACAATTGATTGGTAGTGTTCAGGTAACTGGTAGATAGCCTTGCAGTAAAGGTTCCCACCTGTCACGCCTAAGCACTCTGGTTCTGTTCCCACAAAGGTATATCCGTGAAGCCATTTTGCGTGTCTCTATAATGGCATTTCTGCAATGTAGCTGAAGGCGACGTAAAACCATACTCATTCATATTATGTCATCGGTGGTAGAATAATGGGACTAATAAACTAACAAAAATGTTCACCAGAATCACTTATATGAGAAGCGTTTCATTTAATGCCACATAACGATAATTAATGGCAGCGTTAATCTCAATGAAGAATGATTTGTTAAACTTACTTTGGGGAAAGTTCCAAACACGTTACATTTCAGTGCGTGCTGGAATTCGGTGAATCCGATTCTTTTCCCATTGTTAAGTCTATCTGATTAAGATTTTATGCTGATAGCACCGGCCAACAGACCCAGATGCAACCATCTTTCGCGCCCGCGCACGAACAGGAAATCAAATAGATGCATGAATGACCAGTCAGTGTTATCCCCATGCCACCCAGGTATATTGTCCACCCGATCTGGAATACAATACCTTCACGCATGCAAGGAAGTGCTCATTCAAGTAATTGATTAGTAATTAATTACTTTCAAGAGCCTTGACGAATTGAGATACACTAACCGTATAGAGGTTTGTGTTTGGTTTGAGGGCTTTTAATGACTTTCAGACAAATCCTAATGATTTCAATGTATGTTTGTGTACATACCGTCATCGAAGCGGTTTAGATGACAGTTACTACCTCCCCTTTGTTTACATACTGTGAACGACTGCGTGCGTGTCAATCATCTTTCGAGCTAGGTTGCCTCTGTATTTTTCTTTTTCGTGTGTGTAATAAAATAAAGCCACTGACTTAATTGTTATTCAGTTTGTTGCTTTGCTATTAAATGGCATCATTTCTGTACAAAGTGGATCAGTACTTGGAAGGTAGTCGATCTGGACAAGTGTCCTGTCTTAATTGATGCAGGTTTTCAACCAAAAACAGTTATAGCAGAATCTTGTAACACAACTTGAAAGATGTAATCACACCTGGTTCTTTGTTCCATTGAATCAAGTCCTGTCAAATACTACAGGTTTAATTAATTCACAACTGATAATTATTTATTTAATCGGTTCTGTTTTTCAGACGTTCTATTAAATTTGCTTCAAGCAATGGATAACACTCTTTATCTGTCTGCGATTGTAATCCCCCTTTCTGTGATATGTATCATCTAGAAATTGATGATAACACTAATTAATGTACACACTGACGGTGTCGTTTCGTACAATTTCATGACCTTTGCCGAAAAAGGGAACATGCTCATGCAGCACTGTAAATACAGGGAAATATTACAAAATCAGGATCCACTGTTTTGATGGTTATTAATAAGACGAACCCGGGAAGATCCGGGCTAGAATTGGTCTGCAGCAATCAAGGCGACTGACGGGATAGGGTGGGCAGGTTCGTTGACTTGTTGACACTGTCATCGTATCCAAATTGGGTAGATCAATGCTCATGCTGTTGATCACTGGTTTGTTTGGTCCAGACTCGATTGCCGTCTTACAGCTGGAATACTGCTGAGTGCGGCGTCAACAACAAACAAACAGAGACATTTCTTCACATCACTCTGAAAACATGGCAAAATCAAAGTTTGATGCATCACACTTTCTTCTGTCTTCATCTTTCGATAGTAGCCATCGGGCATTACATACCAACTACAGGATAATTACAGATCCCCTTCCATTTTGTTTTCCTATGAACAGGCAGTTTTCTCAAATTGCTGTTCAGTGATTCATTTTCCCTCACGTAACTAGAACAAAGGACTGCCATATTGAAGCAGCTGAATTTGTTCGCTGTGGCATTGCTGGCTAATTAACTTTGACACTTTCAGGGAAGAACGCTCTATGACCTTCGTTCAAAGATGACTCTAACACGATATTGTACTTAAAACCTTCAAAGATCAGCAACCTAACATGCTCACAAGACAAATTAGGTGTTAGCAAACAGCTCACTTGACCTCACTGGAGCAGCGACCTTGAACATATTCATTGTGTCAGTTTAAACAGATCGTATTTTAAGAGCTGTACATATATCATATATTATGTTATAATTATTAGCTGATAATTCAATATCTAGATACAGACTTGCATTAAAAAGAGGTCAGCAGATAAAAGAGTGTAGGAAAATATCTTATTACTATTCGTTGATAATTCAATATCTGAAGACTCGTGTTTAAAGAAATTGCTTCTCGGAATATGATTCAATAACGTGATACACATTTTCATTGGTCATTTTAGTTCGGACTTTGCAATGATTGTGACCTTGATAAAAGATTAGACAATATACAGTGTTTATGCAGGATTCTGGGCAAACGAGTTTCCTGAGTCGGATTTTCTTCCCTGATCTTGACAAATATGCTAAGGGTGCATACGCTGTATTTTCAACTTCGTGTCATGCCTCTTTGGCTTACCAACATAAAGTATGTAAACATACGAGCGACAATACCTTTTGTAGATCCATGCATTCATTTATGAATTAATGTCACACTTAGAAAGTTCCAACCGTTTCGTTAATGTATGTTTTTGTACTAAATGAAGTCATGTATAAATAAGGTTACAAAACAGCTCGCTTGCAGAACATGAACTTATCTCTAGCAGCAG